AGTTACCTAAATAAGCACTCTTCAGAAGGTGTCTGAAGAGAATGCATGAGGTGTGATACCCTAAAATATAGAATCACACTTGTGGGAGAATACACCACATGTGTAATAGGGTATACTTCTCTCCCCTTGTAAAGATATATGTTGCTAATCTGGGTGGAAAAGATGCAAGTCCAATCAGTAAATGAATGTGCCAGATGGTGTAGAGCAGCTATGGGTCTTCAAGACTGCCAAAGGAAGAGGGTCCCAACAGTCTTCACCTCAAGACCAGGAAGCAGAATAGAAAAGTAACCCACACAGAGCACATGTGCTGACCCAGTACACAACCAACACCAAGCCACCTGGGAACCAACGTTCAGGCAGCAGTAGGAAGGGAGAATGCAAATGTGATAGGTCAACTCCGGTCCAAAACCAGGTGGCATTGGGAATTTTTTATCAGGTCCAGGTAGGAGAAGGGACCCTACCAACCACATGTGTAAGGACTTATGTTGGTTGGTCCTACACAATCCAAAACCAGGCAGCATTGGGTATTTGACTTCAGTTATATAGTAGGAGGAGAGTGCTCACCATCTAAACCCACAGAACACTCTGAGTGGAAGTGGTCACACTCAAGAGGAAGCCTCCATGGTCCACCACCCCAGCAGCTAAACTTGTAAAAGTAAGGGCTCCTATACTCCACTAGAGGATTGAGGGAAATAATATAGGGGAAAGTTTGAAAGAATGCAACACCTTAAGAGTATGTAGTAAGTGACTGCAAAAACCACATTTTGAAAAGCAAGCTGATCCTGGTTTATTCAAATATGACTGGAAGGATGGATAGCATCCAGACACTGCTTTATTCACAATAGTCCATGAGTTGATAGAATTTGGAATGGACCTTATTTATGAAGCAATATACTGGAAGGAGCCATTGAGCTGTCTTATGGAATACACCATTTCATCAATGAGCATTACAGACCTTTAAAGGTCACATGGTGTGGATTCAATGGTAATTATACCCAGACAGGCACCACTTGCCATTAAGAGATGTAGAAATAGGCCACTGTAAAGGAAAGATATATAAAAGAGAACTTACCCATTTAGAGCCAGGAAGGGGTATGTAGAATGGGGACAGGAAGAAGTTAATATCCGGAAGAAGAAGAGATGGCCAGAAGATAAAGAAAATGTGCAATGAAAGTGGGGTAATCTACATGCCAGTTTCCACAAACTCCTCCAACAGATGGTGGAAGTGAAGAGCCAGAAAGAAAGTAAGATGTCGGATTTGGTGAGAGGAGACTTGAACGAGTCAATGTGAATTTACATCCAATGAAGAGAGTAACAGAAGAAATATCTCAAGGAAATTAGGAATTCCAAAAAATAAACAGATGGGAACATGAACTGTGAAAAGGAACAGAGCAGGCCAAAGAACAACAAACCACATGCATGGGACATAGAAAATGATCTGAAACAGAACAAGAATAATATTGAGAAATGGAAGGAAAAGAACACAAAAGGAGCAATGGCATACACATCATATCCCCTACAGCCACAAGCAAAAAGTAAGAAGTAGGACCTAACCAAAACATGGTACCAGGAACAAGAGACTAAAGGTCAAAGAGAAGAAGGGTGAAGGCATGGAGAACAGTATTCAGATCCAAATCAGGAAGGATTGCAAAACAAGAAGGATAAAGGTGGCAAAAAGAACAAAAAAGCATATAAAAGACAGAAGAGGAAAATACATGATGATAATAAGAAAACTTGAAAATATTAGGCAGAGCTGCTTGGTAACCAGCCATAGTCAAAAGAGATAAGCCTCATTTGAACAGCCAATGGAAAAAATTTGGGGAGATTGAAGATAAAAGAAAGGAAATGGAAGAAAATGTGATACAGAGGCCAACTACAGAATGTACATCCTTGTCGCGGATAGACAAGGAGGGAGGAAGAAAGGCTACACATAAAGAGAGTCTGGAACATTTCGCAAAGGACCGGACAAAACCCACACATGAAGTCAGAGTGATGACTCTGCTGGATGGGAGAGGAAGGAGTAGGGAGAGTGACAGACGTAGAAGAAGAGGAAGAGACTGTTTTCACACTATTAACCTCCTTTTCTGGGCCCATTCTATACAAGTACATCTTCTAGCTTGTTCTGTTTCAGGTGCCATGATTCTTATGGTGAATTGTCACTTGAGGCCTGCCAAGATATTACCTACAAATTGGTCCCTCATTCTTCTGGTGTTCAAGTGGCTTTGCTCTTACCTGGATACTTTTCTCGATGTTTTTGCCACTCTTGTCAACAACCTACTTCCCCTTTTCTGGTCCCCTGTTCCTTTTCCCTTAAATTTAGCTGGGAATGCATTCTGTCAGGTCTGATCCAACTTTTTTCTCTATACCTACCCTCCCTCATTTTGGACACTCCATGTTGAATCCTCCTGATAACTCCGCACTGACTGGTTCAGGCATTGGTTCCTATGTTGCACCTTCTCCTGTTCATCCCTTGTCCTCAACAGTTCTTTTTCCTCCTCCTTCCTTGTTCAAAGACTTCACCTGGAGAATTGATAAAACTACTTCCATAGTGGGTATTCAACTTCCTCTCATTCATGTATCCTGTTTTCTGAGGTCATTGTTACCATGACATATTGTCCCTTTAAATTCACGTCTTAGAACTTTTAGCAGTACTTTGATTTTGGATTTTTGTAGGATGTTTTGTAGTTGTCCATCAGTGATCCATACAGTCAGCTCTGCAGTTGTCTCCTTTATCAATCACCATAGGCACACGTTGTCTCACTCTCGCATTGTTGGTCATAATGGCTACAATTACTATTGGATGGGTTTCTTATCCATTTCCAGGTTTTCTTCCAGTTTTTCTGTGTTTCCCAGGGAATCTTTAGATAGGTGTTGAACCTTACATCTTTCATGTCTCAGTGGGTTTCTCATCTTTTCTCACCCTACAGTGGTCCTTTGATCCAGGTCTTGGGATGACCAAGTTGGACATCTCAGGTGTGTCTTTTCTCATTTGGCTCTGTTCCCTCATGTCTTCTACAGCCACCCTCTTCTCCTTCTGTGGGAGGCAGTGCATCTCACACCCATTTCATTTCTCATTCATTTGGGTGTTTGTTTTTTTTCCTATGTCTGCAGGGCCCAACTTTATACCTTTCTTTCAAAGTACATGGAGCAATTTGTTTCCCATTTTGTACCTTCTTCTCCTTCCCTCATTGTGCGGGAGGTTCTCTTTTTTTCTGGTAACGTGGATTTCCATGGAATCCTGTATCCCCTTTGGTTGTGCTTATTTGTGATGCCTATAATGGACTACATGTTCTCTGGATCATTGCTTGGCTATGGACCAACGTTGGCAAGAAACAAGATCCCTTGGAGGATGTAAAATAATAGGCATGGGAGACCTTGGAGAAGAAAATGAAGGATAAGGCTCTGTAATACAAATCCACATACTCAATAATTGGTCACAAACAGAGGGTAAATGTCCATAAGCTAAAAGAAAAAGGCTCTTATGACCCTGAGCCTATAGGACTGAACTGCCAAGACTGAAAGCACCAAGGTTTACAAGTAGTGGAAGGATGGATGGGAAGAGGAATAAGAAGTGGTGACAGAAAGAGAAGAGGAAGGAGGAGGACAGGGGACAGAAAGAGGCAAAGGAGTAGAGGAGAGATGATAAACTAGTGAGGATAAGGCATAATATTGGTATGCAACCCCAACATATGACACCAGAGATATAAGCATATAAGTAAAATCATACAGGCAGTTGAAAGAAACCACTAGAAGGCACATGAGATATAAAGGAGGCAATGCAATTGAGTAACAAGGGCATCACACCCCAACCAACTCTAGCAAAAGACCAACCAAACGAGAAGTGAAAATGCTGAGGAAGATAAACATGCCCCTATAGAAAAGATAAGTTGTTGAGCAAATGTTGAAAACTCCACAGGAGAATGGTGAATTACCATGTAAAGAATGTTAAAGAAAGAAAAATAATGGAAAAAGGGTAGTGTGTGTACGACAAAGGTTAGGAAGATATAAGCCTAAGAAAGATGAACAGAAGATAGAGGATATGACCCCCAAATCTGAAGAAAAAGGCTCCACAGTTAAGGACTCAAAAGAAAAGCAATACAGCATGAAGTCATGCCTAGTCATATGAGGTAACAAAAAAAAAAGGAGGATGACGCCTGTATGCCCCAAAGTAATGGTAAAAATAACTGAATATGTAAAAAACATATCTGGGAAACCTAGTCACAAAAAAAAGGCTGAGATAGAATCAAGACAATATGGGTATAAGATGAGGCAAAGGATTAACTTTTCAGGTATAGCAGTTTTTTAGTGGAAGTATCTCCAAAGATGATGTTTTACAAGTTTCAGTAATTTCCACTTTGTCTGGTGTTCACGCTTGCCTACCAACTACATTGGCATTGGGTTTGTCTTTGTCTGTTGGAATAGGTGACAGATTTTGTGCAATGGGTGGTGGAGTCTTTCATGCAGCCTGAGCCTTCTGTCTAAAATACCTTTGCTGATGTTTCTCATTTATGGTGGAAGGGATTTTGCCAGTTTTCCCACCTAGAGCAAAAAAAATACACATCATTACACACGAAAGCCAAATCAAGAAGTGATGATTTTGCTCTACAATACAGAGGGAGTCAGCTGCACTAGGAGGGTGTGTCACACTCCTATTGGTGGAGGGCTGTCACATACTCACTTGCATGCTACAACACAGCTATACTACACGTAAACACGTGATGTTAGATAGGAGTGTCAAGGCTAATGGTGAGTGAAAATTACATATATCAAGGGCAACACAAATCAAGGAAATCTTGAGGTAAGGTACTTTATTGGAATTACAGTAATCACCTAGCTCTAAATAAAACAGAAGAAAATTACTGACACATGACAATATTACCATATATCAAAGGTCTCTGAAAATATACAGATGATATTTGAACAGTAATAGTCAAAACAGTATTCAGAAACAAAATGCAATACAACTGCCATTATTACAAATCAAACCACCTCAAAGTCTACCAAAAAGCAGACAACATTCCTTGTAAACATGGACTACAATATAATGGAGAAATAAAAAAACAGAAGTTGAAAACATAAAAGACACCAGAAGTCTGTAATGCCAATACGTTCTTGTTAACCCATTATGCCAAAGACCATACAATAAAATAATATTAATAAAATAAAATAAAAATAATATTATGAGCCACACAAAAGAAAAATAAACCTTCTACATCTACCTAACTGATAATACAGTTACCCAAGTATACAACTCAGTCAAACCTGGATACCCCTCTTGAAAACATTCAAATATTTGGTTCAAGTCCTAATGGGGGAGAGCTAATTATGACAATGATACTAAGTATATTCAGCTGAAGAAAACACTCACATAGCAATAGTGAACCAATTATTCACAAACAACTAAAACGGCTATGAAACAGTGGGCTATTAATTACATAAAAATTTTGCAAATTATTATATGAAATCCTAAAAAATCTATCATTATTTTTTCAAATTTTACAAAATCTATTTTATTTGTGAAGAAAACACCTTATATCCTTGGGCGTTTTTAGGAAAACTGCTGTATATTTATCAATACAATTTATT